CTTCTGCCTATGAGCGGGGAACAAAAAGGCCAGGTGGCAGATATGATACACCAACTTCTAAAAAGAAAGTACGAATTCAAGATCGCAATCAACTTTCTACAGAGGAGCGTCGAAAGTTGTTTGAGCAGGAGGTAGCTCAGTGGGAGGCTCAAAAACAACAGCAGCAGATGCAGAACCTGGGAATGACGTCTCCACTGCCCTATGACTCTCTTGGCTACCATGCCCCTCATCACCACTTTGCTGGCTACCCACCAGGTTACCCCATGCAGGCCTATGTGGATCCCAGCAATCCTAATGCTGGTAAGGTGCTCCTCCCCACACCCAGCATGGATCCTGTGTGTTCTCCTTCTCCTTAAGATTATTCTCAGCCCTTGGTGTGACATTCTACAGAACCCCTTGCTGCCCCTCCACCTGTGCCAGTGGTGCCACAGGTGGCAGCCCCTGTGGAAGTTTCCAGTTCACAGTATGTGGCCCAAAGTGATGGTGTGGTACACCAAGACCCCAGTGTCACCATCCTGCCAGTGCCAGCCCCAGGCCCAGTCCAGGGACAGAATTATGGTGTTTGGGATTCAAACCAACAGTCCATGAGTGTACAGCAGCAGTACTCTCCTGCACAGTCTCAAGCAACCATATATTATCAAGGACAGGCTTGTCCAACTGTCTATGGTGTGATGTCACCCTATTCACAGACAACTCCACCAATTGTACAGAGTTATGCCCAGCCAAGTCTTCAGTACATCCAGGGACAACAGATTTTCACAGCTCACCCACGAGGAGTGGTGGTACAGCCAGCCACAGCCGTGACTACAATAGTTGCACCAGGGTAGCCTCAGCCCTTACAGCCACCTGAAATGGTTGTGACAAATAACCTCTTGGATTTACCACCCGCATCTCCTCCCAAACCAAAAACCATTGTCTTACCTCCCAACTGGAAGACAGCCCGAGACCCAGAAGGGAAGATTTACTACTACCATGTGATCACAAGGCAGACTCAGTGGCATCCTCCTACTTGGGAAAGCCCAGGAGATGATGCCAGCCTTGAGCATGAAGCTGAGATGGACCTGGGAACCCCAACATATGATGAAAATCCCATGAAGACCTCAAAAAAGCCTAAGACAGCAGAACCAGATGCCTCCAGTGAGTTGGTTAAGAAAAGCAAACAAGTATTCAGAAAAGAGATGTCCCAGTTCATCATCCAGTGCCTGAACCCTTACTGGAAACCTGACTGCAAAGTGGGAAGAATTACCTCAACTAAAGATTTCAAACACCTAGCTCGCAAGCTGACTCACGGCGTTATGAATAAGGAGCTGAAGTACTGTAAGAACCCCGAGGACCTGGAGTGCAATGAGAATGTGAGACACAAAACCAAGGAGTACATTAAGAAGTACATGCAGAAGTTTGGGGCTGTTTACACACCCAAACGGGACACTGAATTAGAGTGACCTTCAGGGCCAGGGTGGGAGGACGGGCAAGCGGGTAGGAGAGACTCTGGGGAGAAGAAATCCCGTGGGCCCTCTCTCCCCACCCCACTGTCAGGGCTGTGCTACTGATGACACATCACCCTGGGGAATTCAAACCTGCAGAATGAGCTCACAAAAATGAGCTCCATCTACAACAAGCGGTCCCTGGTTGTGAGCTGCTGGTAGAGGCCATCTGAGGCAAGGGTTTAGGCCCTTGAGACCTTCCCTTCTGAGACCCCGGCCAGGCCTGACCCCACTCTCAAGGCTGGGCCTCCTCCTTGGCGGTGCTGTCAGCACACAGACTCATGCGCATCCCCACCCACGACCCCTTACCCTGACGATCTGTATTATATTTTGATGTCTATGTGAATATATTGAAAATAATTTGTCTTTCCTGGTTTTTGGCTTTTGTTTTGCTTTTAAGTCTCTGCATTCTAGGATCACAGAAGACTTTGTAAGGATGGTTTAAGTTGTCCTGCAAGGTTTAATGTGTTATCATGTAAATATTCCACAGCAGGCTGCCTTGTGGTTTCGGCCAGCCTTGTGCTATGTTGATAAGATTGATTTACTGCTTAAAATCACTTTACTTGGGGTTCCCTGCTGGCGCAGTGGTTGAGAGTCCACCTGCCAGGGCAGGGGACGCAGGTTCGTGCCCCGGTCCGGGAAGATCCCACATGCTGCAGAGCGGCTGGGCCTGTGAGCCATGGCCGCTGAGCCTGCGCATCCGGAGCCTGTGCTCCGTGACGGGAGAGGCCACAACAGTGAGAGGCCCGCGTACCATAAAACAAAACAAAAAAAACAAAAACATCACTTTACTTTATCCAATTTTTACTGAACTTTTTATGTAAAAAATAGAATCAATTAAAGAAAAAAAAAGGATAAGTCTATGCCTTCAACTTCTAACAGGTGGAAGAGTTCTCAGTGCTTTCTGAGAATCTGCTTCCCAGGTTATAATACTCAGTTTGGCTCCAACAGAATTCCCTTTTTCTTAACTTGATAGTTAATTGAATTTTGGAGAAGGTGCGGTTGTAGACAACCACTGGCTGGTGAGAAAGTTTGCTGGGTTGCCTGTGCCAGAACTGGTTTAGGGTCATCTGATAAACAGGAAACAATCACCTAGGACACAGGCAAGCCAAGGCATCTAAGCAGGTTGCTGAGGAAGCTGGGATGTTTCTGCAGGTGCCAAGCCAGAGCAGACATTGCCCACCTTGGAAAGGTCTCAGGAAGAGCCCTGCAGGGGGCAGGAAAGTCAGGCCTGGTCATGCTTGGGAGTGTGCGTGGTGAGGGCTGTGGGTTGCTACAGCATGAAGCCAGAAGTACGCGGTGTGCCTCTTAAGACCGCAGCAAGGTGATCACCAAGGCTCCTGGGCTGGAGCTACAAGGTAGTCAAAGGACTGAGCACTCTGGGTGTGCAATTGGAGAATGAATTTGGAGCTGGGAAGCAATAAGTTCATAAGCAGCTCAGTCGACCCCTTTGACTTCGCAGCTTTCATATGCACCATTCTACACACATTTCAACGCCTGCCCAGC